TAAGGCTTCCCTCGCGAATTCCATGCAGAAGTCCTTCCATTTATCTGTACATTTTGTGTAGATAGTTTCACTCAGCAATTAGCCAACTGTGTAACTCCCAAGGGTGCTGAACCTTAGCTACTTCTCTCATTTAGCATGAGCAGGACCGCAGGGGCTCTAGCTGCCGACCCAGAGAGAAATGCTGCCCCTGGGTTTGGGCCCGGGGGACAGCGCCCTGGGGCTAAGTTCAACCACCCATGGGCCAAGATGCCTGGGGGCCCTGGAGCATCCGGGTGAGAGGCAAACATCTGGGTGGATGTGCTCTGGTATGTAGACCTTGCTTGTAGATAACTAGTTGGGAATTCGACTTTTCTTTCAGATCTTCAAAGCCCGTTTCTGGAGATTTCTATTTTCAATGTGTTTCTCATGGGGCCTCAGGTCACATTATTGAAATCCTGGGATTTTCTTTCTTCTCTTGTGGTGGTGGTGGTTGGGAGATGGGTAGATTGCTTTTAATCTCGTAATCAGGTTTCTTTAAATACTCAGAAACCTAAGCATATACATTCTTTTTTACAGGCAAAAGGAAAAAAACCATTATTTGTACAGTTGATCCTGGAAAATATATGGAGTTTGTATGATGCTGTCTTTTAAATGCTGTCTTTTATAGGTTAAAAACTCTTTTTAAGGATTTAGATATACTTTAAATTTTTGAACCACAAAAATAGGTCTGTCCTGCCTCGGCTACGAAATTTGAAACTGTGATAGAAAGAGACGAGCCGTGCTAACAGTGTGCGTGCGTATGAAAGGGAATTCTTCCAGAGGCGCTGTCTCCCCGTCTGCTGTGCTTGGCGTTTATTTTGAGCCCTCGCTCACGCTGGCTTTTCTTTCTGACTTGTTTATATTCTCAGAGTATGAAAATACAGTAGCCAGGAGGCTCCTCCCTGGGAGTCCGCCTGTGGCTCTCGTCTGAGGACTCCTCTCTAAATGGACTCCGGTATCATTTTAGCTCTCACGTTGTTTGCCGAAATCTGAGCTGCCCAGGGAAATTAGAGCAGTTAATTTAATATCAGGGACGTTTTGGGGCTTCTGGGCTTATTCACAGGCAGGAGAGTGTAAATCACATCAAGTGTTCTGTATAAAGCAAAGGACAATAAATGCTGCCTCCAAAAAAGAGCCAGCCTGCCCTCCGTGCTCCGCCCTCCTCTCCTCACCTTCACCCTGAGCCCCTGGAAACCTTGCTTTACTCCAGGTGTCCTCCCCAGATGGTCCCCACAGAGGTCTGTGCGGCCGAAAGGCAGCACCCCATGTGGTCGTTGTGTGTTAGCCGTAGTAGGGCCATAGGGTCACAGCCAGCGTGGTGTGGCTCACGGGGTGGACTCTCCCGCATACAGTTCGCACCCAGCCCTGCCACACTTTCAATAGAAGGACTCATCCCACAGCCACGCGTGACCCCGTGGCGTTGCCAGGACTGCTCTGGGCACTGGCGTCGGTTATCTTGTGTGTTAAGAAGGAAGGAGTGAGCATCCGAGTGAAGCGCACCCCTTCCTGCGGAGGGAAAATGGGAAGAGTGAGATGGGCCTCCTGCGCCGGCCGAGCGCTCCATGCCTGTCTCCAAAGCTCCCTTTGAACAGCCTCCTGAGTGGCAGGGTTTTGGGCGGAGTGGCTGCCTCGCTGTTTTGATTTGTTTTGGAGAGGATCTTTGAAAAAGGCACAGTACGGACCTTTGACCCGAGAGCTCAGAACACACATCGGCGGCGACCCCCATCAATCCCCCTGAGCTCACAGCGAAGTCAACTGCTTTGGCCTCAGCTCCGGAAGGTTCTGTGTGTTCAGCGGCGCTCCGCTCCCAGCACCCTCACGGAGATGCCACGCTTGCGTCTAGGTCGCCTCCCCTCCCCTGAGCTTCGGGGCCAGTGTCTGTGGGTCTGAGGAATTTTTGAAAGAAGAAGAAACCCTGTCTGAGCCAGTGAGCGCTCGCTTCGCTTTAGGGGCCCAGCTTCTTTACAGGAAATAACGGCGATGACGGCAGACCCCTGATGAACTTTTTACAAATGCCCAGGCGCTTAGTGCCGTGGATCACACAGGGCGTCCCCCAAAACTGTACACACACTTTAACAGCTGACAGCTCAGTTTTGAAAAGAACATGTGTTTTAATAAACACCACCTTTATAATTACTCAAAGTGTGTGTATGTCTATTTTTGGGACACCCTGTATAATAGCTGGGAAGTAACGTGGGTTTTTGTTTGCTCACCCGGACCCTGGTGCACCCTGCGCCCCGTAGGCTTCGATCATGCTCGATCTATCTTGGGAGTGAATCTGGCGACGGAGGCCGTAGGCTGTTTATCTGTGGTCAGCAGGAAAGGAGACCATCTTGGTTACAGAAAATAAATGTCTTCTAGAAAACCACACTAAAGCATAAATATTTTAAATTTTGATACACTTTGCATGTTCTAAATTGGTCTATAAAATACATACACAGGGATGCTTATGTTAAAGCCGGGTTTTCCCGTTAGTAATAAACAACCGGGCGTCAACTTGCACCACCCACTGAAAATTTTACACATGGCGTAATTGATGATGTATTGGACTCCTCTACTTTTAGCCCGCAGTGACCGCGGTTCGCTCAGACTCTGCATCCCCACCACTGCGGTGGCCGGGGTTGCAGGCCTCCGGTGGGTGGGACCCTGCGCAGTGGATTTTTTATCTTTTCCACGTCTCCTTTCCTACACCCTTTATCATCTCTTTCTAACACTCTGTCTTTTTTCCCTCTCTTTTTTTCTATGAGTTTCTCTTCTCCCCGGCAACTGTATTATTTCCATGTAAAATTCTAGGCATTTATACGTTTAGAGTATCCTCTTTGGTTTCTAGTGCTCTCAAAAAAAAAAAAAAAAAGAAAGAAAAAGAATAGAAAAGTCTTCACAAATCCAGCCAATAAATAATATTCTAATAGCAGGGACCTCGCTAAAATGTCCACACAAAAGTGGACATACCACAAACAGCCATCTCTACACACCGCCCGGCCTTCCCAGTCTGGTGATTTAGATACTCTCCTCCTTAGGAGGCTGGTGCCATTTTTGCCGAATTCAGCATGTTCGAGTAATTTCTCGGAGCCAAAAAGCCAGCTCCACTGCATTTCTGCTTGGTAAGGTCCGGTGGCCTTGGCGTGGGGCAGGCGTTGTTGATTCATCGGCCCTTAAACTGATGATAAATCTAGAAGCCGGGCGGCAGTGCTGGGCTCCCTTAATAGAACCTGTGCAGGAAATCGGTGGCCGCCACTTACGGGAAATCTACGGAAAGGACGCTCGGTAAACTCACGTTAGGAGCGGCTCCAGGAGAGCTGGGGGTAGAGGGAACCCCGAGGTGCCACGTGAGGGGGCATCAGCAAGAACTCTGAGCACTACGTACAGAGCTCGTCGACCTAAAGAGTGCTTCTGCTTCTCGAGATACCGTTTTCTGTTTATTTTTAAATTCTAAATGCCTAGTGTCTTGTACCGTGAGCGTCTATTGAGATGATTCAGTTCCCCGTCATATCGTGGCAAAGCCCATTTGCCGCGATGCACTGATCACTCTAATTGGACGTATTTCACTCACCTTCATTCACACAATCCCACATCCATATTGTTTTCAACAATAATAGTATTTTCATTTTAATTCCGCCTTTAGCAAAATGTGAAACACTCCATGAGGTTCCCCAATGCAGCTTTGACACGTCCTTTGCGGAGAGTTGTCTTGGGTTAGATTCGCGCAAGTTACAAATGAAAATTACAGCATCGAGAGATCCCTCTCCCTGAGAGGGGCTGATTTTTTTTCTGAGTCAAAGGGAAGAAAAAAGTCTATAAGGGAGTTTTCGGCACAGCCATACTTCTTTTGGCCATCCCCCTGCCCCCAAAGACCATGGTGTGTTCTGCTCACAAAATACAGTCCACAATCTGGTGTCAATACCATTTTCTGTATAGTATCTTTCTTTAGAAATCAAGTGAGTCATCTAATGTATGACATTTAAGTTGGGATGTGATCACAGTAAACACCCTCACTTACACATCAGATGTTATTTTGATTTGGAGATCACGGTGTCTGTTTGTTATCTCCCAACTAAAATTCCTCAGTCCCCAAATAGCCTGTATCTCTTTACTTTAAAAGACATCATTTTCATGCTCAGAAGATGGGAAGGGAGGGAGAAGGGAGTCCTGAAACGGGTGCATTTAATCTTCCCCAATTTAAATGTAAGCGGTCCGCCGTGCAGGCAATAACGGTATTCCCTCCCTCTCCCCCCATCGGGAGCGCTTCCATCCATGGGTTTCCCTAATGTTGACGATGGTGGGTGCAGTTTGAGGGAATCTGTATTTATTCAGAAAAATGCTTCAATCGAATGACCTACCAGATGGGCCCCGCAACAAAGCACAGAGGCATCAAACCACCACAGACATTTGGTGCTTAGAATAATAAAAAGACTATAAAATTAGATTAGTTGAGTCTAATTTGGGATTGGTATATTCCCCACGCACCCTCGCCGCTCCTGGGCAGATAAAGCCCTGAGATTTAGCGCTGTGTCAGAAGACTGCCACTTCCAGTAAAAGGGAGCCGGCAGAGGGAGAGAGGGAAGAAAGCATTCTGGGAGGTCTCGGAGGGCAGAGCAGTGACCTCCAATGATTTACAGGCCTTTAGCTTAATGAAATTGTTTCAGTGACATGACGGTAAGAGCTCGTAATGGATTGGATGCCCTAATGTAATGAAATTACTCCCTTCTGCCTAAAAAAAAAAAATGCGCAATTAATATTTACTGAGACCTGACAGCCTTCGGTGCGCTCGTCTGTGTAGTTCTCTCAGACAGTCAGAGAGGAGAGACGGAGCAGCGTGGCAGACGGGCTGGCTCTGCGGGAGCTCCTGGCGGGGACGAGCAGAGCCTGCAAGGGGTGGAGGGACAGGCGCTCGCTCGCTCGGCGGCCGGGGACGCCCGGCCCGCCGCCCGGCTCGGCGCTGCCCCCACTCAGCCTTCACGCTCTCCCCTTGCTTTCCACAGGCAACTGGACAACAACCACATCAGCTGCATTGAAGATGGAGCCTTCCGAGCGCTGCGCGACCTGGAGATCCTGTGAGTTGATTTTGCGGCCGCTGCCTTGTGTGCGTGTGCGTGTCCGTGTGAGGTGCGGAGAGGGGGAGCGTGTGTGCAGGGGGCTCCGCGCGGGCGCCTTTCTGGGGCTGCTGCTGCAGTGCTATTAAAAATTGGGAACTGGGAGCTCCCTCCGGCTCACCTTGGCCAAAGTGTTTGCAGGCGGCAAAGTGTGATCTCTCACCTCCCGCAAACTGGGGCTCCTGCTAATGAAGTCTCCGTTGAGCCCTTTCCTCCCCGATGCTCCCACGGTGTTCGTTGCTGGGGGAAACAGATGGGCTGGAGCAGCCCCCGGCACCCGCCAACCTGCTGGTGCGTTCCGGGGAGGCTGTCTGAGCGTGGGCATCAGGAGATGGGTTCCAGGTCTGGGAGACCACAGAGGGTAGCACCAGGGGGTCAGCTGGGAATCGCCCAGAATCCAAAAGGGACCTTGGCACAGGACTGGGGCTGGCCGCACAGCCAGGTGAAGTCCAGCCATTGCCGTTGCTGCTGGACTCTCACCGCAGGTTTAAATCCAAACTTTAAGCAGCAACCTTAACGTG